ATTAACATGATATGAAATAAGAAGTGATTTATGGTGTCTTGCAATGATAGCAAAAGCCTTTTGCACTATGTATTATAAAATACATGACGGAAATAGAAGAAAAAATACCAAATAAGTATAAAATCATGACAATTTTTCTGAATGCCAGGATACCTATCGTTTCTTACCTAAAATATATTTATTGATCAATTTGCAATAAGAAAATGCATTACTGATATTCTAATTTGACAATATTCCCTATATGATATGATTAACTTAAATATTTAACTAAAAAGAAATATTGTGGATAAATTTACATAACTTTGTAGATTCAGAGATACTTTTAGGAGTATTTTTTTATTACTTAACTGTCAATTTTATAAACCTTAGGATCGGACTACCATAAAGGGTAGATCTCAACAAAATCAAAAAATTGATCTCTCTTTATAGAATGAGAAAAAAACAATGGTTTTTCTTTTCTCTGTTAAATGGATCAACTTTTATTCATATCGAAATAATACAAAGCTCGTCACTTTAATTAATTTTGTTTAAATCTCCTATTCAGAACATATTTCTAGATTTGTAAGTGAATGATTACAAAACAAATAGACACCGTGAATTTATTTACTCTAGTTCATCCCTAATGGACTCAATAATAGAGAGGGACCTTAGATAACAGTTTAATGTAATCGATCTGTGGCTCAGAATCTGTGGCTGCCAACACAGATCTATCTCTGTTTCTACTGATTGTTAGGAACATGTATGGCTATCAAGCTTATATAAATTAATCATGGCGTTTTTAGTACTTCTTACTTTACTTGGATTTGTGAAAAGTAAGTATTATTGTACAAAGTCTCTCTCTCTCTCTCTCTCTCTCTCTCTCTCTCTCTCTCTCTCTCTCTCTCTCTCTCTCTCTCTCTCTCTCTCTCTCCATTTAAAAAATGCATGTTTTAAAAATTATGTCGTATTTGAAAAATTATACATTGACATAAAATCATGTTAATTTTTTTTTTGAAAACTTGGATTAAAATATATGTTATGTGTATAAATATTCCTGAGATTGGATCCTTTTCAAAAATTGTGATGCAGCATCAGTAGTCATTTCGATCTTTATTCAGCGTATGATAACTGACGTTTTTCATGCTAAATGTAAGTCCATTATTTATACACTGAATTGACAACGGATCTTTCCGTTATTTTCCGATTATGACAAGGCGCACACGGTGGATGTGATCGGTCGCCAGGGGATGCTCACTCCTCCATGGAACTTCATCTCACCTCTGATGTTTTGGAGGTCCGTTTTTGCTCTGGTCCTATTTGATTTGTTTAATGGATTTCTGATCTTGAATACTGTTCGTTATCTCTATTTATCATAAACTTAAAAGTAAATACACCGATTCTGCACGGTGTGATACGGGTAACGTCACAATACCCTATATCACAGACCGGTCCAAAAATCCATTTCACGTATCGGACCGTAGGGCAGAAAATAAATATCAAACCGGAAGTAACGTTTGTATAAAGTTTAAAAGTTAATTAACTTGACTCTATTTAATTAAATATGCATGTAAAAAAATTCTTTAATGACTTTTGTGATCTTATTTTTTTCAGTTACCTAAAGTTGATTCTGTTAGATTTTCGACAAAAATGTCATAAATAGGCCCGAAGAATTCTTCAATGACCATATGTGTACTCGCATATTGAGTATTTTAAATATATGATACATGTAAATAGAATACCATTTACTAAAATTCATATCATATGTAACATCAGCCCTCGGGCCCCATATCAGCCCTCGAGCCTTCGACCCTCGGGCTGATATGGGGCCACACGGGCTGATATGACATATGATATGGGTTTTAGTATGTAAAATTCGCTATATATTTCATGAGTAACTACGTATACGAAAATTAAGTAGTTATGGATAAAAAAAAAATGAAATACACTACAGGCAATATCGCCATATACAATCTACATATGTGTGCTGTATGTAAATCATGTAAAGGGGCACTATAATTATGTAAAATATATGTTGCTAATTCGGAATGTCTATTTATCAATACAAACTTAAATTTATAATGTGATGTGTTCTTCTCACAATAATCATTCCTTTTTAGGTATTCTTTGTAATGAACACGATTTAAGATCTGATCTCTTGAACACCTCCAGGCACAACCCATTTGTATTACCCAGGAACTCAACAGCACCTATAAATGTCACACTCTCGTGGGTTACGGGGTTTGTCGTGGGATTTGTAAGTAATATATAGTCACAACCTATCAACATCACAATACATAAGTTAAATGGTTTGTAATTTTTTTTAACGTAAAGAAAAGATATCCCGAAGATAAAGATCACAAGTTGTGCCTCCATCAGTGAGAACAACATGTAATCACAATCTACAAACGGCCATATATGAAAAAGATAAAATATTCAGATCCCATAGTCTATCCGAGCAATACAGATTTACAAGTATTAAATGAAACATGGAAATCTCAAACATTGGAGTTGGGATCAGGCCTGGGGGTCATAAAACTTAGACGAGCTCACTTTTGATTTTTTCCACTATTAGTTCCTTTGGAAAAAGTGAGACTAAGATCAAAAGTGAGCTCGTCTAAGTTTTATGGCCCCCAGGCCAGGTGTCATGTAGAAGTAAGTCTGCCCTGTCAGCAGGTCATATTGGTTTGGTGTTGCATTGAAAATTAGAACATACTTATGCATATGCGTGCGACAATATAATGGATCAAATAGTTCTTTGTTTGATAACAGAAAAGTTGCCAAATTTAATTTATGTTATATATTCTACAGTGCAATGATCAAAATGTTTATTGTTTGGATTTTTTAAAAGGAATTTCACATTAGATAATTTTAAAACTGAAACCCATTAAAAGTTGAATTTGCTTTCCTAAAGACGAATATAAGCTTTCGTGACTCGGATGCATTTGATGATTTTCGTCTTGAATGAAGAGAATTTTTTATTCTATTTTTTTTTTTATGAATCTTTTCCTTTTTGTAGGATGAAATCGAAGGAAAATTTACAATCATGGGAAATTTAGACATGGTAATCAAAGTCTCTTTCGAAAATCCGATGAATACACTCAGTCTTATTTTGTTTTCTGTCAATACATTAATATAATTATTTGTTGATAGAGCTGGAAAGACGAACTTATGATGTGGAATAAAGAAGCCTACAACGTGAGCTCCATTGTAGCTGTTGGCAAAGAAGTGTGGACGCCTCCTATCTATGTCCTTAACAAGTTTGTAGCCTGAAATAGATATGTATTACATTTTCATATATTAAACTGAACATTAAGTTCTCTTGCAGACACCATTTAATGTGAAAAACATTATAAATTATTATCTCTGTATTTAAGTTGAACTTTGTGGTTCTTTTTAGCCGATTTTTTTTTATTTTCACTTAAATTCATTTACAAACAAACAAGAAATCAAAATAAAGAAGAGTGCTTATAAAAGTATATAAAAATAATAATGAATTTATACTTTAAAAAAAATTGCTTAATAACACACTCTTCATTAAAAATATATTTATTTATTTTGAAAATATAATTGAAACATTTAACAATTGATTTTAGAATGGATTCTGTCTTCTTGAGCAATGGCTTAAATGACGATTTATTGAGAATTAAGCACACGGGAGAGGTAATTTCCACACACTCTGGAGAAATGTCCGTCTCCTGTCCCCTGGACCCTATACATTTCCCTTTCGATATACAGACCTGCTTCATGATGTTTGGGTTAACGGTCCACTCCTCCGCGGAGGTTCGACTGAGATTCTCGGACAACCCAATACAATCCGTAACCGGAGCAGGCATTATGACTGTGGACCATCCGATCTGGACCATCACCGGATTCAAGACCACGGCCTCAGAGTACTCCAACGTGGCGTCTATAAAGTTCTGCTTGTTCAGGAAGTCACTGTACTATACTTTTACCATGTTAGGTCCTTCTGCTCTGCTGAATTGTTTGACAATATTTGCGTTCCTCATTCCAAATGACCAAGGAGAGAAGATCTCGTGTGGAATGACCATATTCTTGGCTTTTGTTGTGTTTCTGGTGCAAGTTGGTGACATCATTCCGAAAAACTCAAACGCAGTACCAGTTCTAGGTAAATGACACTTTAAATATTTAAGATAAAAAACAAGTTTAAGGAAGAAATTTATCCATACGACTGTTTAATTTTTCATGCTTATAAACCTTTTCTTTAGAAGGTGAACATTATTTAATTATTTTCTTTAGGTAAATACTATCTATATTCCATAATTGGAAGTGCAGTAATGGTAATCAACACTGTGATTCACTCATTCATTGCAAATAAACGAGCAAAAAATGGTGAAACCAAAGTTGAACCCATGAACAACGACTTGGAAAAGCCGGCGACGTTTGAGATGTATGATGAAACTATTTCTGTTTCAAGTAATGAAAGCACTGGAAGAAAGATCCCTCTGGTCAAATTTCTGAAGAAACATGGACTAAAAATATTAGATGTAGTTTGCTTTCTCATATCCGTGCTCCTCATCGGGATTTCTGTGATTATGTTGTTGACCACAAAAAGTACATGTGATTCTGCGTAACTTTTTGCTGATCGTGTTTGAAAACGTTTCTTAGTTATATTTGTTACTTGAGTAAATTTTCGATGCTATCTAAAGACATTGAATAATCTTAAGGTAAATACATGTATTTGTGCTAAATACCTAAAGTCGTTTTGAATTTTACAAATTTATTTTTCGGTAAAAACGTGTTTATTCACCTACTGTGATTGTACAAGATATACACTACTATATACGTACTTTGAATATAAAAAAAATTTCTAAAAGTCAATATCTTTATAAATCATTACAATTGCACATCCAAAGAAATTGTCAAACGAAAATTAAAAAACACCCTTAGCACAACTGCATGAGGTAAAGGTTCAAAGAAGCTTTTCGTGTTGAAATTTTTTGCCGTTAACATATTATTTTTTTCAGAAGAGCGTATACTTAACCTATTTCTATAAATATAGCATAAAGGACCCTTGTTGTAAAGAAGTTTATAATTGTTCAAAAATCACCCCCTTTTCTTCTTAGGAATAAGTTTTAAGAAAAGGATTTAGCAAAAAGTATATAAGTTTAAGACTGGATCATTGTGAAATCTTTTTTAGAAAAACAGACTGAGAAAAAAAATAAAGAATTTAAACGAGGCTGCATTTCATTTCCGGAATTTTTGGTAATTATCAACTTTTCATTTCCGACATTTTCTAGTTTTCATTTCCGACATTTTTTTGTTTTCATTTCCGACATTTTTTCAGATATTACCTTACGTAACAGATGTGAAGACTTTACCTATGAAAAATTTAAAGTAATTGATATAATAAATAAATCATTGAAAATCTGAGTTTTTGTTTTATCAATGAAACGACTGTGGCAATGTAAAAAGTAGGCAACTACATGAATTAAAGTTTGAGAGATTTTTTCAATGTTTACTGAATTACTCTGCGCAGATGTCAAGCAGAAAAAAGAAATTTCTGTGTAGAGAAGTGTAATAAAAGCGTTATCAACCGGAGTAAAAACTGAATTAGAGTATACTAGTATATCAAGTGTATTGGACATAAGTTTGGTGCTGTCATTGGCATTTATTTTGTATGTTCATTGAACTCTTTAACCTAGACTTAGTGCTACATGTATGCACATATGTATATAATAAATAAATTTATAGAAAAATATATTTTTAATCAATATTTTGCAATAAATACTTTTAAAATTTCATTTTCGCTGACTAGCAAAACATTAAATTGTCGCACAGGCAAATTCCGGAAATGAAAACAAAATTATGTCGGAAATGAAAACAAAAAATGTCGGAAATGAAATAAAAAAATGTCGGAAATGCTATGCAGATTTCCGGAAATGAAATGCAGCGTTAAATGAAAACTTTACCTCATCGTTGATTACATAAGGGCTGCAAGGGTAGGATAGGATTACAACAACAGATAAATATAGCCCCCCGTACATTTTTACCAGAAGGTACTGCAGACGTACTTTTTTCCACGGGGTCATAATTACGCGGAATCTCAAATTCTGTTCAATCCACTGGTAGAAAATTACGCTGATTTCCTAGACTGTCACTTGGACAAATTTCAGTAGATAATTTGAGACCGCGTACATAGCGTAAATTAATACCACGCGGAAAAAAGTACTTCTACAGTAATTCAATGTAAGACACACATACTCTTAACTCGTATTGTATAACTTTATCAATTTATCTGGTTATAGGGCTATAATGTACTATAAAACAAGAGACTTAAGAAGGCAAATCTCTGAACTCAAAGTTAGTTTTGTCTAGTGCTATAAATTATAAGCGAAAGCTGGTCTACATCCCGTGCTAAGTCCACAAAAGCGCTGGCATAATTTCAAGACATAAATAAAATGTTTACAACAAAGAGATTTGACGAAAGGATTCTGGAATATTTCAGTAGGCAAGAATATGCCGATGCTAACTATGCCTTGACAAAGTAGGGAGCTGATTCATAGAGTAATTAAATACGAGGTTGAAGTGGAGGTATTATATGCTAATTAACCGTGCAGAGACAAAATAAAAAAAATATTCAAAATTAAACTCTTTTTCGATGACAGGTCTTGACATTTTTTTTTCCTTTTAACATTACATAAATTTATTTTCTACCTTAAAATAATTATAATATATCCTAAAAATTATTTCTAAAAGAAACTTTTAGGTCTATGTAGATGGTTTGCGTGATGACCCCGGTGTTGACTCTGAGCTTGCTTTCTCCGGATCAAAAGAAACGACATTCTTTTTGATAGATACTCCCCAAATAAAGTCTTTTTAATGAACAAATGAATTCATTTTTTCAGTCTTTTTTTTACCAAAGGGTTAAGTACTTTAATAATATTCATGTAAATGAATATGCTTATGAATATAAGGATTCAATATACATGGAGATAGCACACGACATGATATGGCATTATTTACATGTTCCTAATCTCTTAAATATTTATAGCAAGGTTATAATAAACAAGGAAGGTAAATAGTGATTTTTTTTGTCGGTAATCATTACAACAGCCTTGTGCCTGATGTGATACATGGCTACCCCTCTCTAAAAGTATGCCTAAACATTAAAACCATGCTGATAAGGTAAACATATTTTAATGTACAAATGTTTAGACTATGGTATTCTCATGCAATTTTTTTTTTATTTTTAAAGGTTAAAAACCTTTTTGAGTTAATCTAAGATTTGTCTTCTATTTTATCACCTTGTTTAATAAACAAAATCGGAAACTATAAAAAAAAACACTCTGTAAGTCATATGGTTCAACACTTTGTTATATTCTTATATATTTTTTTGTCGAGTTACTGCTTTAACAAAACAGTTCTATAAATATACATGATAAAGAAAACTTTGTATTCTTGACTTCTGCTCATAAAAAATTGTAACGTAAAACGAAAAAGAAAGAAGAACACGTTAATTAATTGATTTTCCGAAAACAGCCTTTTGTTCAATATAAAGTAAGCATGCATTTAATGGTGATCGTCCCATAGGTGGAAATTAGATTTCCGACACCGATGGCATTATTAATAACTTCCTGGTCTTTGGGATATTTAGGTGCTTGGTATTTTAAATAGAAACAGTTCAGATCTTTTGTCTTAAATGCATATAGATTCTAATAAAAGATCAATCAGAAGGGAACACCCATTCTACGAAAAACGTGACAATTATTTCTGTTTGTCTGCTTGTTGTCATGGTTTATGTCGTGTATATAAACAGAAACATGAACAATATTTTTTTCAATCTAAGTTAGAATCTCAATAATTAAAGAGAAACCACTTCACTGTAAGTATATGTTTGTTTTATTTATTTTACTCTGCTTCTATCATATTTCAATGTTTTAGGGGGGTTCAGGTAATTGACTCATTCATAGATTTTAGTGTTTGTTTTGCAATTTATCTTCAAGCATTAGGGTTGCAATGGATAAAAGTTGTGGAGCAGCTAAAGGTGGAAATTCGTATACTGTTAATAGCTTTGGAGAAACCAAGATAACTTCATCAAACATTGGTGGATCCAAATGGTCGTGTGAAACAAGCGGTACATTAGGAAGTTACTCTTCCCAGACAACATGTACTCACAACAGCGGAAGTGTGAATCCGACTGTGAATGTAGGTTCCAATTCGGACGGACATTCGGCAAGTGCTGGGGTGACATTCAAATGGTAACCAAGAGTTGAATGAGGGTCAGCAATGAAGAAAAACAAACATTTGATACTTTAAATATGATACTTTTGGAAAATGATAAAAAAGTATATATTTTTTTTCCTTTATCTCATTTTTTCTGAACTCTCGTTAAAGACATAGGAAATATAGTTTGAAATTAATTGTCTTTTTCCCTGGAGTTGAAGAGATCCTTTACTTAAGGAACTTTATGCTACATTCAATAGGTATATGTGCTATTGTGCACTTCTCATGAAACAAGTTTGGTTAAATAAAATATCTCTAGTTTACTACATGTTGAATTTTAGTTTTCTTTAAATTACTGTATACTAGTATTTTCATATAGGGATATTTTTTTTCAAAACCCCTTGTGATGCATGCTGAATTTTATGGCTATAACAAGCTGATGGGACAATAAGCTTAAATGAATAATATCTCGAAAACAGATTATAGTTAAGGTTATATGTCCTTAAGATGTGAATGTAGAACAGGAAAGATGACATTCGGAGACTTTAGAGTAAGAGTTTAAAATTGCTTTTATAGAGATTTACTTATTAAGAGAAAAGTAAAAAAAAAATTCATATACTTGATAAACTTTAATAATACAATTGTGAAAAAACTTGATTACATGCTTCTCTTCTTTTTTTCACTCCACAACTAATGCAGACATAGAAAAAGAATTTTATATAACATGTATAATGGAAGTCATATGTGATGTACGTTTGGATAAGTTCGGAAATGAAAATTTTAAAGAAGATCGTTCTACAGTAAAACACGCATATCACAAAGTGCCAGGGGCAAATAATTTTTTTTTTTAAATTTATAAAAACGTAATCAAAAATCGTTATAAAAACGTAATCCGTTATAACTGTTAGTATCACAACACAGTTTAAAGTCAAGGGAAATGAGAATCACTTCGCTATTAGCGTTAATGCATTTTATCCCATGTTTAATCCTCTATCCCGTGGATATGACTGATTGGATATTTTTTATATCCCACAGTTGTGACGTAACAATGATTTTTGCGTTATATTGATAAAGTAAAATGAAATTAAGTTCTATATAAAAACAGAGAAAAACATTGGTAATGATGTATTAAACATAAAACATAAAAGAATCTCTAGTGATTTGTACTTAGATATGGTTTTTAGCGAATTTGTTGGACAAAAACCATAACCAAAAACAGGTAATTGTAGAACCTATTATATTTGTCATAAATTCAAAATATAGTCCCTTTATAATCTATGCAAGCTCATATAGTTCATGATACATATGTACTACAAATTCACAGGATTTGAGACTATATTCGCCGTAGAGTCAGTGCGCGTGCAGCGGCATTGTGAACAATGATTGCAACGGCCACAACCAGCTAAGTATCTTAGATGGAAAAAATGTAGACAAAGCTATATAAGGATTATTTTAAACATTTGGACCTCTTACACGGCAAAAGTCGGAAAGAAAAAGTTAAACACGAAGGTTACAAACTGTAATCTCGACATTTTTTTAATTTCCAAAACAAGGTCATTGTTTATATACCATAGCATTATTTATATATCTTTAACGTATTGGTAGGCAAAACACTGCATAAGGTTCATGGATA